CGGGGATTTCGGGGTTTCGGGGTTTAGGGGGTTCAGGGGTTTAGGGTTCAGGGGTTTAGGGTTTAGGGTTCAGGGGTTCAGAGGTTTAGGGTTTAGGGTTCAGGGTTTAGGTTTCAGGGAATTGGGGCTTTTGAAAAGGACTTACCGAGCGTCTCCATTGTCGTCCATGTTTTGGGTTTAACCAACTTTTGTATATTGAGGATCCCTGAACCCTAAACCCCAAAAAAGGAACTACAATGGAGACCAGAAGTGGGTTTAGGACCAATATAGGGATTAGGGTTTAGAGTTACTGTAGGCTTTGGAGTGTAGGCGGGTTTAGGTTCAGAGCAAGGCTTTAGGGTCTAGGATTTTTTAGGCTCATGGGTTTCGCTTTAAGGGTTTAGGGTTTGGAGTTTAGGATTGTTTAGGCTTGGCGTCTAGTTTTAAGGGTTTAGGGTTTAGGGCTAAGGGTTTCGGGTTTAACTGAACACCCTCTGCAGCTCCTACAAAGGCATTGAATTGGACTCTCGAAACTCGGACAATGCAGGCCAGGGGTGGTTGTGAAGGTTCAGGCCCGTTGAGTTCTGGTGTACCAAGTTGTAAGCGCTTAGGGGCTTAGGATGGTAAGGCTTTGGGGCTTTTTGGCGTTCACACTCGGACAAAGCAAGTGGGGTGTTGGGGTTTTGGAATCATTCAAGTTCAGGGTTTTGGATTGCAAAGTTGAAGGCTTGTTTTACCTCAGGGTTAAATGCTTGTTCAATAACTGGGCTTTTGGCTTCGGGGCGCCGAGGTCTGGTCGTATGGTACGTGCATCGTATTCGCTCACAAGTTGTGGCTCCATACCTCCCAGGCCGCAAAAGCGCAAGACAAGACAGTGGCAGCGGTAGACAACATGATTTTCGGAGTCTGAAACGCTCAACCCCCAGGGCGTTTTGTCCATGAAGCTCCTGACCTCGAAACCAACCGAAAAGTTTCGGCAAACACAGCAACACTTAGTAAGCAGAATCCTAACTACTAGACCCAAACTGGCCCAAATTCGGGAACCATACACACCCTAAACCTCTACCCCTGTAAAGCTCTATAATACAACCCCAAACCGTAAGAGCCCGCCACTACCGCGCCTTGGCGTGGCCTGCGGGGAGGTCGAGTTCCGAGGCGTTGTCACAGGGGACGGCCCGCCGCCCTCCTCAAGAAGTGTTGTAAGGACGGCGGCAATAGACAGATGAACAAACAAATAAATCAGGCACACAAGTAGGTGGATGACAAAGTCAACCCACAAGTGATAGAATAATGTAGATGTATATTCAGGGCGTGAGATCATGTATGTCTATGCGGAGTAAACCCATCCCCCCCCCCAAGCAAACAGAACAGCCTCAAATTTTAGGGCTTTGAACTTATGTAAGCCAGGGTCGAGGGCTTTCGATGTTGGGCTAATGTAGAGGCCTTAATAATTAGAATAGGGTTTGGGGGGTTCCTTATTCTAATTATAGTATAATGGGCCCCAAAACCGTATTCTAATTATTAAGGCCTCTACATTATTTTCCATCTCCTGCATGGAACTGTCGGCAAGTGGGGGCTTCCGGAGGCTAAAACCCGCGAAGCAGCTGCGAACTCCGAAGCCTTATTTCAAGCTTTTCAACCCCATATAACCCAAAACTGTGCACTCCTAGGGTTTAAAGGGCTTCTAGGACCCTAAAACGGGCCCCTCAACTCCCCTATACCCATAGGCCCCTAAGTAGTTCCTTTTTGGAGATTACCTCATTAGGATTCTAAACATAAACCCATAACAAGCAACTACTTAGGGGCCTATGGGCAACCCTAAACCGTACACTCCTAGGGTTTATAGGGCTTCAAGGACCCTAAAACGGCCCCTAAATAAACTCCCTCTAGAAAACCCTAAACGCGCTTTGCAGGTGAGAAGCAGGCTCACGCGGGAAGGTGTAGCCTGCGAAGGCGCTCACGGCCGTCGTGGAGGTGATTGGAAGATCGACGGCCTGGCACGGGAAGCCCTAAAAGAACCCACTCTGTGTGTGTGTGTGTGTGGTTCTTTGGCTTAGAAGATGGCTTGGGGCTTAAGGCGTAGGCGTCAAGCTTAGGGCTCAAGTTTACAGTTTATTTCAGCACTCACACTCAGTTGACAGTTCATTTAGGGCTTAAGATTTGGGGCTCAGAGCCTCTCTCGGGGGTACAAATATAGTTCAACTCGACACAGAAGACACGTGGCACTCGGCGCACTTTTCGGCTCAGTCTCTGCATCCTCCTGTAGGGCGTTTTTTTAAGGGCTTTTGAGGTAGCTTATAGCAAACAAAACACATGATAAGACATCCTTCAGGATCACTCAGGCTTCTATATAGTACCCCTCCCCCAGATGTCCCAAAAGGCTGGATGCGTGCACTGTAAGGGGTTAGGCAGTGCAAAGTGAAAAAAGCTGACTCCAAGACTGTTCATACAAAATTTGAACAGTCAACGACAAACTATTGCTGCGAAGGCTCCTGTTGAAATTCCAGCAATTTCAATACAACAAGCCATGGGCAACCAAACTGAGCAGTATGGCTAGACATCAGCGCACTGCTAGCAGCAAGGACTTATAAGGACGTTGGATCGAAATATTCAGCCCTGCCGGTCTCCGTCACAGTCGCCCCGATGCAAAGAGCAGGGACAACCGCCCAAACTCTAGTGACTCTAGTCAACAAGCTGTACTCCCAAACCTACAAGTGCGCCCGATCTGACCGAGCAATTACTTTGCGGCCGCCTCCGACACAGTAATCTGAGGGGGTGTCGTGAAGGAGGTCGTCCGAAGAATGCCTCCAAGGTGGCTGCAAGCCGTGGAGTTTGGTCAGAAGTACGGCTATGGGAAGAAGAGTCGGGCACAATGGCCCTGATACTCATAATCGTAGCTTTAACAATGGTTAACCGTCGACAGCGATAGGGACAATACGTCTGCTGAAAATGAGTGCATTCGGTAACCGATGTAACTGTAATGTTACAGGATGCAGGTAGTGACCCAGAGCCATTCACAGCCATCATGAACAAGATGATCCCCATCAATATCGTCATCATCACCACCATCATCACTATGGCCGTCGTCATCATCTAAACCCGAAGCCCTGAACCCCCATCATAACGGTCGGGAGTATGGTGCTCAAAGTCATAACAATCGCACTAAGGAGGAGCCCTGGGCTTCCTGAGGGAGCTTTCCTCCTACCTGGCTAGGACGAGCCAGCTGGTCCACTGATGAGACTGGTTTTTTCTTCGCGTAAGGCATCTGCCCGAGTGTCTGGATCGGGCTCTGCAGTTTAGGGCAGGGGTCTTTGCTGAGGCTTGGGGTATGGCAGTGGCGCAAGCGCTGTATAGGGATGACTTGACACTGTTCTCCAGACATCCGTTGAACACGCTTTCTCAAGGGAGTCGGACCTGCAAGAGATGCGTCGTAGCATTCAGACTTCAGCATTCATGGAGGCTGAAATGCATCGCTTGCAGAAACATGAAAGAAACAAGTATGCATAAGAACCCTAAACCCTATAGATCCTTTGTTTGCAACGCTTCGTGTTGGTCTTTGTGTCGCAGGGCGAGGACGCGCCAAGGACATGCGACGCTAAGCGCCATGTAAGTACCTGAGACCCGAGTCCTTGCTGAAGTTACACTGGGCTCAAGTCTAGCCAGACCTTCCACCCCTCCATCCTCTTGACCACAAGCCCAAATCCTACACTCCTAAACCCTAAACTAAAACACCCTAACCCTACATCCCATACCCTAAACCGTAAACCCTAAGCCTAAAACCCTAAGTTCTAAACCCTATAAGCCCAAGCCCTAAACCCTATCAGCCCTAAGCCCTTGACACCTCAACCCAAATCCAAGGCCCCCAGGCTCTAAGCCCTGAGTCCAACAGCTCAATTAAGCCCGATTACGTGGGGTTCAGGATTTAGGGAGTTGTATTTAGGGTTTAGGGTAGGGTTTAGGGTTTTAGGGTTTAGGGTTTAGGGTGTGGGGTTTAGGGTTTAGGATTTTGGGGTATTCTGTAGGCCCTAAGTACACCTGGAAGCCTGGGGTTCTAGAAGGTTCGCCTGGGCGTCCAGCACACCTCTGCTCTTGGTTGCCCAGAAAGGTCCTAAGTACCTATGCGGGGGGACACTTTCCCAAACCACAGTAGCATGGGGTTTACGAAATTAGGGGTTGAGGGCGTAGGGATGCTGGGTCTATCTTTGCAAGCCCAAAGCCCTGAACCCCTGAATTCCTACACCACAGTTCTAAACACCCTTTAAGCCCTAAACTTGCAAGACCCCAAAGCCCTGCAGTAAACCCCAAGGGGGGGAAAAGCTTAGGCTCCGCCTTTGCGGCGACCTGTGATGGGACTGCTCGGCTGCGATCCCTCCGGTTGTGACAGCTGATACTCCGCTCGGTTACCTTGGTGCTCAGAGAAAGAAAACTTTGTAGAATTTCGGAGCTCTTGTTCAGGGACTCAATAATCCACCTAACTGAAGCTACAACTTATGGGGTTCATAGTAATTGGAGGCTTCCCTACTTGTGGATCTTACGGTAACCTAAATAAATTTCCTGAACAAGAACCCAGATTTGGGGCTTGGACTTTTGGACTTTGATGCTGTCGGGTTCTGCGGCGGGAGGGCGCTTGTGTTTCCACGAACAGCGATGCAGCAAGATCTTGTCAAGGTCGGAAGTTGACAACAACACACAACAGTTCAACAGACCGTACTCCCCCACCTGCTGAACGCGAGCCGTCAGATTTCAGCACACCGAGGCTAGCAAGTAGAGCAAGAAGAAGCAAAGGTCACACGCCCCTGTGAGGCCTTTGGATGTAGTCTGTGGATGCCTGGGTCTACTTCACATCTTCCTTGAACCTGCACCTACAGTGCCCTATCGAATAGTCCAGGGTGCCGTCGCAAAGCTAGGCGGGTAGGCCTGCGGCTTCGAGATCTGAAGCCCTGAACACCAAACTACCAAATCACGAAGACAACACCTCAACCTGAAAAGCCCTAGATTTCGGAATCCACTAAGATCCGGAACTGGAGGTTTCGAACCACCGATTCTTTGAACCCACTGAGCAGTATAGGGCCTTTGTGCCCTGAACGCACTTGTAATACATGCACGCAAGTCGTAGGCAACCCCAAGCCAGCAGAGCAAAACTTGAAGTTGCTGTGTTATTAGCTACCTCGACTACTTACATGGGATTCAATAGCGACCCTAGAACCTCTAAGAATCTACGACAAGACCAGCCGCGGTTTTCCATGAGCGAAGCTCTTGGGGGCTTCGCAGCCTGGCGCCGGTTCAGCTCGACCTGCACCCGACTCAGCCTCAGATCTGCCAGGCCAAAACAACACAAGTGTGTATTGAAGAGTCCACGCATGCCTGTCTGCATGTGTGTTTTATGTAGGCAGGTAGGGAGGGAGGGAGGGAGGGGAGGGAGGGAGAGGGAGGGAGAGGGAGGGAGAGGGGGAGAGCATCACCGGCTGATTGCTGACTACTGAGCGTTAACTACCAGGTACACCAACTGCTCTACTACTGCTACTGCTGCTACTTCTGCTGCTGCTACTACTACTACTACTACTACTACTACTACGCCGACGACGACGACGACGACGACGACTACGACTACTATCACAACGACGCCGACGACGACGACTACTACTACTACTATCACAACGACGCCGACGACGACGACGACGAATACTACTACTACTACTACTTACTACCACTACCACTACTACCACTACTACTACAACAACAACTATTACTACTACTAGTACCACCACTACTACTACTACTACTACTACTACTGTTACTACTCCTACTACTCCTACTACTCCTACTCCTACTCCTACTCCTACTCCTACTCCTACTACTACTACTACTACTACTGCTACTACTACTCCTGCCACTGCCACTGCTGCTAGTAGTAGTAGTAGTCGTCGNNTCTGCTACTACTACTTCTGCTACTACAAGGCTTTGTGTGTGTTCAAGCAGACCCTTGCTTCTCCACCCAAACAAGCATGCCGGGTGGCTTTGCCCGTTCTGGCTCCTTGGCGGAGGCATTTTAGGGATTGGAATTTCGATCCGGCATCCAATGCGATACGAGTTCACAAAAGAGGCTTCCGGACCTTTCGGGCTGGGAAATCGTATCCAAGCCCGCATGGGAACCGGTATTTTCCTTGGGGAGAGGACAACAGAAAGACGCTTCCGGACCCCTCGGGCAGGGGATCGTGCGCTGGAACCCGTATTTTGCTCAGGGAGGACCACAAGAAAGGCTGGATCGTGTCCAAACCCATATCCAAACCCGCATTATCACCCGCATCCGAAGTGTATGCAAACCGTATCGGTTCCTATATCTGAAGGATGACCCGATATACCGATCGTATCACCCGATCGTATCCAGTCGTATTGAAATCAGAAGGAGGAACCCGCACCTAAATTAATTAGAAAGTCTTGCCTGTATAATGTAACCTGCTAACCAGATTTGAACTCCATAGCTGCTACGACTGGCGGTCATGGCAAGGGTCGACTGCACCTGCCAGCCGCTCCTGCAAGCGCTTTACAGCCCTAGCGATGATCGCCTTCTCCTCCTCATCCGGAACCCATTCCTGGGTTCAGGGTTTAGCTTTTGGGTTTCATAAAGCCAGGGTGTAGCTTCTACGGCGTAGGGCCAACTTAGGTTTCAGTGTCTCCATTGTCACAAATTCTGGGGACGATAGAAAAGATGTGAACCAGAGGGCCTGTCCATGAAGCAGTCATCCCGCTCTGCCATCTTGGCTGATTTCCATGTGCTGACATTAGCCTGTAGGGTTTTTGATACACTTCTCGATTTGTGCGCTTAGGGTTTAGGGTTTATAAAGGCTATAGTACTAAATCCCGCAACATGCCGTCTGAAGCCAAAAGCATCAACCGAACTTAAGCCGCTGCAACCGCCGGATTCGAATGGGAGCATGGTGGCTCGGGATTCAGGCTCTTTTGCGAAAGCCAAGCATGCCTTCCCCACCGTTTCAAGTCATTCCGGGGCATTGGGTTCAGTGGTTTAGGGATTGAGTTTACAGAGTTTAGGAATTAGGGCATATACTTCGGCAACCCTAAACCCTACACTCTAAACCCTATATATATATATATACATATATACATATATATATATGTATATATATATATATCCCGCTCCAAATCTCATGAGCCGTGAACTCGGAATCTATGTGAGTGCAGCTACCCCAAAGGGTATCTGGAAGATCTCCAAAGAAAGCCCTTTCAACCACGTGATTAGTGACTCTAGATCCAGGCTTCGTACTTCATACAAAAAACAGACAACCTCTAAGAGAGTTACATATACATATATATATATATCCATCCCTATTTATACTATATGGTTCCAGTAAATGCTGGATTGAATAGGGTTTCGACTTACTAACTACATCCTAAGCCCTGAACCCTAAACCCTGTGCACAATCGACCCAGACAAGAGTCGGACACTTCGTCCCGAACCGCTCGCCTGGCGAGCTTTACCAGGCGAGAGAGGCCAGAGGGCTGTGAGCCCCCTTCAGCCTTGGCTGTGGCAGATCAAGGTTAGCGCTTAATAAGGTGTATATTAATAGAGTTTCGGAGTTCGTAGGCTTATAAGCCTATAGGGTATTTCTAGTTCCGGCAAGTTACATCTGCATCTAGCCCGAAATCATGATTGTGCCGTGAACCTCCCACTGTGATTGATCTGAGACCGAAGCAAATCGTCTTCCTACAGTGCTACCACAAACGGTTGCTGTGAACATATCGGGACCAATAATACGTACTACGACGTGCTCTTTCCTGAAGATGCTATGTGGCCAATCTTTCTGTTTTCGGCGGTTTTTGGAGCTGTTGGAAGCGCATCTGCGCAACGTCTTGCAGGAAGCTTGGGGCAAGGGAACCACCTGCCAAGTAGCTTCCTCCTCTTTGGAGACGTCTGCGCCAAGCTGCGCAGGTAGTGGACTAGGCTGACGACTCGATCCTGGCCACGCAGCGAACACTCCTCAACCCTCTCTCCCTAAAGCCCTTTTAGCCCTAAACCCCAACACCACAGAGTATACAGCCTAAGCCGTAGACCCTATAAAGCCTAGGGCAGCTGAGGCACGGCTGCTGCTTTCAGAATCCTGCGCTGCTCCACCGTCTAAGACCTGATGAGGCAACTCTCACGGGTTCGGGTTCCTGTAAGGATTCGGTTTAGGGTTTAAGGGTTTAGGGACTGCAAGAACAAAACAACTCGGTCCAATTCCACCCCACCAAACGAGGATTGTCCGAGATGATCGGATGGGAGGTTTTTCCAAGGCGAAAGGACCCAATTCCGAGACAACCCTGAACGATAAACGTCCCAAAGTCTATGTCTTTAACATCTGTCCAGGAGCTGAGAGGTCTGCATCGGTGAAGGTTGCCTTCGGCAGACCATGTTCGGTGTGAAGATAAGCTGCCGCGCTCTCTTCAGACCTTCAGAGGAGGAGAAGGAGCGATGGTGACCAAGATGACGACTCAAATTGTCAAACTCGCAGTTTTGAGGTAATTAGGACTAAGACTTCGGGCTTCTTTCCTTGGCGTCTCTAATTAGGGCTTGCATTTTCAACTGCTGACGTATTCTCGAGATCTGGGTTCCCCTACGATCCAGGCTTTTGGGGATTCCGGGTCTGGGCTGGGTGAGATTCGGAGACTTAGGGCTTTGGGTTTAGGTCTTAGGGCCTTTAGGGGTTGCGGGCTTAGGGTTGAGGTGTCCAGTTGAAGCCAACTTGGATGCAAGTGATTGGAGCTGATCCTGAATAACACGGTCTGCCCGTGTCTTACCGGGAAATCATTCCAAACGAACATGCTTGCAGGTGGAGGCTGTCGTGTCCAGGGTTGTTGGCGTTGCAGGTTTTGCTCCGCTTCTCTGACATCCATCCGGGATTGCAAACTGCCAGCCGATGCAACATCTATCTGAACCTGCCTGGCCTTGTGCCTTGTCTGTTCAAGGCTTGGGTTGTCTTGGTTTCGCACTCGGTCTTGCATATCGCGATCTCTCAAAGACTTTGCTTACCCCTATACCATCTGCAACAGTTCACCAATACTAGATAGTTCGACTTGAACCTCAACTCTGAATTCTGTGCGAGGCTTCGGGACACCTGCCACAAGCTCCAGGTCCAAACACAACATGCTTGCCTGAACGTAGTTCGATCAAGCCGGAATAGACTTCTTCGAAAGGTTCTAAACCCCCCCAAACCCAAAATCATAAAGCCTAATCCCGAAATCATAAACCTTATAAATCCCTAAATCATAAACCCTAAACCCGCAAACCCTAAACCTGAAAATCCCAGAAACCCTAAGTATTCCAAATTCTGGAACCTGGCAGGCTCAGTCCAACCCCACGCTCGATAGGGTTTAGGGCTTAGGGTTTAGAGGTTTAGGGGTTTATTTGGGTTAATGAAGTTTCCAAACCTCAAATCCCAAACAGCCATTACTTTCAGAACCTCAACCCTCAGCTGTAACCTCTCCGAGCGGCAGCAAGGCTTGTGCTCATGTTCCACCCCAGAAACCCTAAACCCTAAATCCAAAAGCATATGTCCTAAATCCTATGGAAACCCTTCACCATAAACCCTAAATCCTAAGCCCTAAACCCTTTTTTGCACAGGCTTGCCGAGTTCACGCCAAATCCTAAAGCCTAAACCCTAAAAGCCCTAAACCCTGAAAACCCTAAAAAAACCCTAAAAACCCAAAACTCAGCTGTCCCAGACCTCCAGTTCTGAAGCGCGAGGCTGCATCCGATCCCAGTAGGGACCTGCTGGAGTTCGGACTTTCAGCTTAGGGATTGAAGTTTCAAGCTCTAGGTAGGGTTCGAGCACGGGGGCTAAACTTCAAAAATGTGTACATACGTTACAGCATACATAATAGTTTAGGGGTTTGGGGTTCTTTTGGGGCTTTGGGTTTAGGGGGTTTAGGGTTTCAGGTTGGTTTAGACTTAAGGGGCATTTAGGGTTTAGAGGGTTTCGGGGTATGGGGAAGGCTTGTGGTAGGGTTAGAAGGGTTCAGGGTTCAGGGTTCTTGCTGTAGGGTTTTTTAGGGGTGCAGGGTTCCTGATCCTAAGAGGGCCTACAAGATTCATGGCTTCAGAAAATCTAGGGCTATCGCTTCTGGGGGCCTCCTGGGTGCCTCATTCATGCAGTTCTTCAAAAGCTTGGTCCCAAAAAAGCCCAGTTCAGTACGTACCTTTTTTACAACGACGTCTTGGGAAACAAAAGCACAATCTATGCAGTTGAA